GCAGTGAGGGCTGTCACCGGCGATGTTGCCCAGGGCCCAAACAGCCTGTTCACGCACATCGGGCTCAGGGCTTGCCAAGAGCTCGACGAAGATGGGGACTGCACCAGCCTCGATGACAACCTGAGTCTGCGTGGCGGAACCGGAAGCGATGTTGGTCAACGCCCAGGCGGCCTCGAATTGGACGAGTGTATGAGGCGATCGGAGGAACTCTACGAAGCGGCTGACAACGCCGGTCTTGATGACCTCTTCGATAGGAGGGTTGCGCTCCTTGGACAGCAGCTTTCGGAACTTGGTGGTCGCTTGGATCTGGAGGTCAATCTGCTCTGAGAAGACGCCCTGAACCATCTGAGGGAGATCCTCATTAAGCTAAGAAAGATTAGCATGGCTGCTTTGAATGAATGGAGGAGCTATAGCTTGTGATGAAGCAGATTTCGATTCGAGCTCTTTGCGCAAGCTTGAGGCTGCAGAGACGCAGAGAGGGACCGACTCGCGCCAAAAGGGAAGTGGGGCAACGGCAAGGCGCCCTGGCAACAGGAGGGGGAGGAAATAAGACGAAGGGTGCAACAGTATTGGCGGGGTTCAAACAAAGAAGATTCGAAGGCCAGAACATCGCAAAAAAACATGAAGCAAAACTTACCTGGGATTCAGTAGGAGCGGTATCGTCATCGCTATCAGGAGCGGCTCCGAGGGAAGCGCCGGGTCTGTTTTCGCCAGAGCCAATGCCACGACGCTTGGCCAAGTTCTCCTCTCTCTTCGCCTTGCGAATCTCGACCTGCTGCTCCTCTCTGCGACGACGAAGCTCCTCAGGCTTGAAGGTGCTCTTCGCCTTGAAGTTGGTGCGGCGATGTTCGGGGATGTATCGATCAGCCATCTTTGCGGTTGCGTGGGTTGGTGTGATTGTTGTGTGGTGTTTTCTTGCCGACCGTCAGGAGAAGGGGGAAAAGACAATGTTTGGCCGGCGGGTGTCCGAGAAAGGCGTCAAGGGTAGAAGGGTCTCTGTCGAGATGGATCTTCTGGATTGTGTCGCGCAAAAGTAAAAAGGAGGGTAGGAGTTGCGCGTGTTGGGAGGAAAATCCTGATATGGTTGTCAGGTCGCTGGGAGAAAAGATGTGATGATGGGGGGGAAGATGAAGGAAACTGGGAGTCAGGGAGGGTGAAGCGAGAGAGCGGGTCGAAGAAATGGAAAGTGCAGGGCCCTGCAATGACCCAATGGGGATGCGTACGTTCTAGTGACTTTTATTTTGCGCTGTCTAACGGGTCGGGCCAAGGTACCTACTACGTCGTTCTTTGGGAGGTGCCGGTGGCCGCAAGCGAACTGTCTGATTTTTTGATTTTTTTTTTTTGCACTGGCTTTCGATGGAGGGGCCATCTGAGATTCAGCAGCAGTCAGTCGGGTGGCTACCTACCTTGTCTTCCAAGTGTCCCAGTGTGCCCGAGACGATAGGCAGCTTCACCTCCACTGGGGAGTTTTAAGTCGGTAGGTACGGATACCTACCTTACCGTACTACCTAAGGTCCCTGGTGGTCCACAATCACGGGTACAAAGTTGGCTCCGTCTCCATTCAATATCTAGGTTTGCAGCAAAGGGCTTAATTCAATAGAGAGTCGAGTATCGTGGTAAGAGATTATCACCCCACTTTGGCTTTTGACGGTGCTTTTTAGCTTGGTTTCCTAGGGGATTATGTCATTGAAAGCTAGTAGGGTACTCCGCTCCCCTTCGCTCAGGTATCTTCCCCGCGACGGCCCGACAGTTGCTTGCTTTGGGCTACCGCACCTACCTAAACTTCCACAGGATAGTGACACAGAGGGCTAAATCCACCTATTTGACAGCGGCAGGCAGCTATCTGTCTTCCAGCTGGGAGCCCCAGTACATTACCTGCGTCCGGAGTTCCTTCCCTTACTGCGTGCTTAGACAGGCGTAGGCACCTGCCTACGTAGTATCTAGGTAGCTGAAGCAGCTGAGACCAGCAGGTGCGTGTGCCCCTCCTTTATCGGGCTGGGCTGCAACCTGGCTCCTGTGAAGGGGACGGTACCTAAAACGCATGGGGGTTACATACCAGGTACCTCATGCAAATCCAACAAGCAAACACAAGTAAGTCCCCGCGTCAAGTGACTTTCCTTTTGGTGGAGCGCGACGCGCCATTGAGATACAGCTCCCCAGCTGTAAGACGCGTCAAACGGCCAGCAAACTTAAGTGCCCCTACGACATGCCAAACGCAGAGTCGGACTTCTAGAATTCTTCAGTCGCCTTTGCGGGCTATGAGAGCGGCAAACGACGTGCCTTTCCGCCTGTCTTTGCGAACATTTATCCTATCTTCCATTGGTCCAAATCATGGCGATGGCGGAGACCGAAGCCAAAAAGGCCATGGATCTCCCAAAGGGCTTTACGCCCCTGAGCGACATCGTTGAGTACAAGGTCCGCCCGAGAAGTATCGTGAATGTGATTGGTCTCGTCAAGGATTTCCGTCGCCCGATGCCTACTCTCAAAGAAGGTAGTGTGCTCAAATCATTGTCTATCCAAATCCAGCTAATGTCTCTTCAGATTACAAATGTCAAATGAGTCTCATTGACATGTCTCTATCGGAGTCTGAGGGCCAAGACGTGAAACTCGACATCTTCCGACCTGAGGGAGACATGCCCACTGCCAAAAGCGGCGATGTTGTTGTTGCTCATCAAGTAAAGGTAAACCACTGACTTGTCTTCTGCAGACTATTTGATATACTGACAATTGGCCCAGACTCAGAGGTACATGAGTAATTCCTTGTCTCTGATAACGAATTTCAGCACAACCCTCCACATCTATTCAGCAACAACAATACCCCCTCCTCCTCAGCACCCGCCAGCCCCCTCAAAGCCATCCGCCAAAGACGAGGAGCGAAACCCAGCACCCATAGAGGGGCAGTATATCTCTTGGCTGTACCACAACATCGACAAGACGGAAATCCCCGAACCTGAAGTGTTTGAGATTCAAGCCAATCAATCGCTCAATATAAAGAACAAGCTGTGCGAGTTGCAAGATGTTCGAGACGGCAAGTTCCATGATCTCATAGTCCAGGTCGTAAAAGATCCACACGACTTCGAAGACAAGGTGACGTTGTACGTTTCGGATTACACAGAGAATTCTGACTTCTTTCACTACACCAACAAACGCCTAGACACTAATGGTGGTCGAGACGGTGACCCATACGGCTACACCCATGCTAAGACTCGAAAAACCACCTCCGATACCCAGTGGGAGGGGCCTTTTGGCAAGCAAACCATGCAAATCACCTGCTGGAATCCCCATGCCACTGTCATCCGAGAAAGAAGGATAAAAAAGGACGATTGGATTCGCTTGTTCAATGTCCAGGTCAAGTATGGATCCGACGGGAAAAACCTGGAGGGTTTCCTTCGGGAAGATCGGAATAGATTCAAAAACAAGATCTATGTCGATAAGGTGGATATGCCGGAAGAAGGAGAGTCAATGGATCCCAACGTCAAGAATGCCCTCAGAAGGAAGCGGGACTACGAGAAGCAGCTCAAAGCTGATTCGGAAGAAACAAATTACACAAAAGGAACGGACAAGAAAAGGCCGGCGGCAGATCAGCTCGAACAAAAACCTCAGAATGCCAAGAAACGTCGATCATTGAAACGAGGTCAAGCTGCAGAGAAGGAGAATGAAACTGAAAAGGAGGCGGGCGAAGGCAAAGAAATCGAAACACCGCCAGACCTCAACGAGCAAGTGGTCTGCGAAAACCACGATGAGCCGGCCGTCGACGTGGCTACCATTCTCGAACCAGCAACACAAGAATTCGTCTTCCAGAACGCGCCCCTGATAGTCAAACTTCCCTTCCACGACGCACAGTACCGGACCTATGTTCGCATAGTCGACTTCCACCCTCCCAGGATACAGGATTTTGCTTGTGTCCACAAGCGAAACGAATACGACGTTCTGTCCGATTATTCTGGCACAGACTCGGAGGACGATAATGACGACGACGACGAACAAGGGCGCGTAACCATCGACAAGTATGTAAGCACGAGCGAGCAGAACTGGGAGTGGCGCTTTGCTCTATGTCTCCAGGATGCCACCGCAGCCAAGGACCCAAAGACACGAGAGAAGAAGACGAACAAATTCTGGGTTGTGGTGGATAACATGGACGCCCAGCTCCTGACAGGCCTTGACGCATGCGACTTCCGCACCAACGCGGACGCTTTGTCCCAGCTGCGCGAGAAAATGTTCATCCTCTGGGGAGACCTCGAAGAGAAGAAGACCACGACGTTGGCCGAGCAGGGCAAGAAGCAAAAGGCCAACGTGGGAAAGAAGAAGAAAACCAGCGACCGACCCCCTGATTCCGACGATGAGAATGCGGTTGCGGACGGGGCGTCCAAGAACGAGAAGCTGGCTATCTCAAACCGTCCCTTCACTTGCTGCATACGTCAGTATGGCCTCCAAGTCAAGGAGCCAGACAGCGAAAAGGCAGATGCAGGGACAGGAAAGAGATGGCAGCGTATGTATGGGCTTTTCGGAACCAAAATAAGCGGCCACTAGCCAGGTGGCCAAGCACGGGCGTATACAGGAGGTTTTGGGACATATGTTTACAACGATTGATGACAAATTTGCAGAACGGCGGCCTTCACGGGCCCAAGGACTTGTAACAGAACGATGTATCCCTAATGAAATCGTGTCGTATCAGCTAGTACAAGAGCTAATCAGTTGTCTTTTATCCCCGTTCTAACGCCTCGAGTCAAATGAGCCATCTATCCTAGACTGGCGCTCCCGTTCGCCGTCACACAACCCAGCATTAACCCTACTTGCAAGAGCGATCCACGAAGACACTACCAAGCCACCTCGCCTCTGGCCATCTCGCAGTGGAAGACCGAGCCAGACATAGACAAGCGCACAGGAAGGACGTGGAGGGTAGAGGGAGGCTCGCAGCCAGTATCCTTGTATAAACAGAGCAAAAGAACGTCAGAGATGTAAGCCGTGGTTTAATCCTCCCGATAGTCAGAAAATTTGATTTAGTCGCCCAGTACATCGTCGTCGTCATTAGTAGCAGGCGGCTCCTCCACGTCAGGTTCCTCTTCTTCCTCCTCCTCGAGTAGCTCCCGCCGTCGTAGATCTTCTTTCGAGCCCTCTTCCGGCTCAGGCTCCTCGACTGCTTCTTCTTCATCTTCCTCTTCATCGTCATCGTCGACGACAATCTCTTCGCTAATGGCGGGCTTCGCAGCAGCGGACCTTGTCGATGCCGCCTTGGACTTCTGCAACTTCTTGCCGTACAGGTGATCCCGGACCTTTTTGGGATCAAGGTACGCCACCACCTCACTGAAGTTCTTGCCGAGCCTGCTCTGGTTTCGTAGAAGTCGCTTGTGAAGCTTGCCCGCGTGCGGCCCTGATTGATCAAGGACCTTCTGAGCAATAGCGAGGACGTACTTGGCCGCCAATTCACACAGGGCCTTTTCAGATTTGAGCTCTAGCGCCAGCTTCTCCTCTTGCGTTAGGCCTTCGTCCTCGTCCTCCTCTTCATCAGAGTCGTCGTCGTCCATTGGTTCTTCATCTTCGGCTGGCTCGTTGAGAATTTTCTTTGTCCGCTTCGCAAAGGTCTTCTCGACGCCGTCGTAGATTGAAATCAGCTCTGGCAGAAGCTTGGGCTCAAGCTCGTGAGCCAGCCTCGCAAGTTTCTTGTAGTTTGCGTTTCCGCGAGATTCTTCAGTCCAGTTTCTCAAGGAGCCGAAAAGCACGTGGATATCGCAGAGAGCGCCAGTGGCAAACATGCGGATATCATCGATGATAGCTCGGGACGACAGGGTTTTGATCAGACCGACGTCGTATCTTTTACGCAAGACAGAAACCTGATCCACCACAGAGTCGGGTATTTCGGTTTCACTTTGAATGAACTTCTGGAAGCTCCGCACCTTCCACATGAAGTAAAACTGAATACCTTTGATAGCAAAGGAGACAACTTCATCCTCCAAGTCGTCAATGTCTTCGGTCTGTTGATCAAACGTGCCTCGACTAACAATGTTCACCAGGAGCTCAATCGTGGATGACATTGAGTCGGCTGCGCGTCCTTCCGTTTCCAAGACCTCCATGCAGTCGGATATGCGAGCAAGCTCACTGATCTTCATCAGCACTGTGGAAAGCGCCTTCAGATGATCCTCTGCTAGATTGCCGCGCATAGATAGCTCGCAGGTCTTGTCGAAGCTGCGCAGGGTGTTGATGACATTCTCCCACAGAACCGCAAGCTTTCCGTCAGTCAGCTCCTCAAGCTCATCGTACTGGCGAGAGTGGAGGAGAGCTGCGGCGGCCTCAGCAACAACCCTCTTGTCGTCATGCCTATTGAACTGAGTGCTGATCTCATCGAGCAACTTTTCATACTTGGTTGAGTCTTGCCGTAAAGTTTGGAAGACCTCGAGGTCAAGGAAGTGCTCCATCCTAAGGACGATCGTAGCAGTGGCAGGGTCGGCGCCAAACTTGTTGAGGAGTTGGGGAATAACTGTCGCTAATTCCAAAGCGGTCTCTTCTTGCGCCTCTGTCACCTCCGGGCGTCCACTCTTCTTTTTGTTCTTCTCAATCTCGGCGGATTGCAGCATCGACATCTTTACTGCGGATGCCAGAACCTCGAGCAGAATAGCTTCCTCAGTACCCTGCGGTCCAACAGCTTTCTTGAAAGCAGTCTCGGTTGAAGCACCGTGAGACTTGGATTTCGACTTGGAACTGACTGTATGATCGTAGAGCAGGTAGCCTGCCAATAGCTCCCACTGCTTCACGTAGGGGACCTTTTCGAAAAGGACCTGGGAGGCAAGAGAGATTCGCGTGTCTGGAACGTTCGCCTGGGTGACGTCTGCGGCGGTAGCGAGGCCTGTGCCATTGTCCTGCTGCTCGCCCTCGACTTGCGCATCAAACGCGGCGAGGTTCTCTGCTAAACATTTGATGTTGACCCATGTACTGCGAGGCGAGTCGTAATCGTCTTCATCGATCTCACCAAATGTCTCCTCAAGCGCATCCTGTCCACCAAGCTCTTCCATCTTGCCTTCGATAGAATCTTCGACGCAAGAGGTGAAGAAGTTGACAACCGCTTTTCTAATTCTTATGTCGCTATCAAAGATGAGCTTGCCGATTGAGTCAACTTCGTCTGGTTCGAGCATTCCGGTGTCCCGTAGTACGTTTATAACAGAGATGGCAGCAACACGGACGGAAACCTCGGCGTCCTTGGTGGAGATCTCGATGAGACGAGGCCGGAAACGATCAATGAAGTGACCCAGTTGTTGCACGTCACGTCTAAAGATGCGTGCCAATTGCCTGAGAACTTCTTGTCGGGTAGAGGCGACGGTGTCTGACAGCATCCAACCGAGATAACGGAGGTACTCGGGCTGCATGAACACTGTGGAAAGACCAATGATCCAAGATCCTAAGGACTCGACACACTCCGTCCTGATACGCGGGTCGATGTCTCGGTATCTGTGAATGAAGGTGGTGTCGAAAAAGTCCTTGATGTGATTGCCGCACAGCTCTCTATTCTCATTGGCCTCGTTGAGAGTACGTTGCATCTCAGCCAGCTTCGCCTTATTCTTTCCGCGCTTGGCTTGCGCAACCTGTTGCTCGATCGCAGTAATTCGGGCGTCGAGCGTGTTTGCGACATCGATAAGGCCGTAGACTAGGGAGAGGATGACAGTTGTCGCGGTGTGGCGGAACGGGCGAAGTGAAGAGGTCGACATGGATGCTATCCAACGGACGAGGTTCTCCATCAAGGTAGCGTCGTTGTACAGGACATCTGTTTCGTGGACACTGCGAACAACGCCCCGGAAGAATCCGGTGAGGAGGTCACGGAAAGCTTTGGTGTTCTTCGCCCTGGAAATGAGGGGGTACTCAGTTACTTGCTCCTGTACCAAGTTAGCTCATTGGTCCGTGGCAAAAGGTTGTTTGTTGTATTTATACGGGCACATGCCTCTTGGAACAGGTCTTGAAGCTCGGTCAGTCGAGCCTGGCAATTATCAGGGTCGCGAATGTCGTCTTCAGTGACCTCGAGGTCACAACCAGAACACTGGAGCACAAGGTTGACGAGCTCCACGACAGCAAGTGCATCATTGGCTTGATATCTGGTCTGCCACTTATCCGCAACCTCGTCCGAGGGCATCCCCGAACCGAAAACATCGGCTATAGACGTGTCAGATAACAGAATCGGCGAATGAGTTCCGGGGTAGCGACTTACCATACAAGCCCTCGGCTTGCCTGTCGGCGGTAGCAATTCTGACGGATTTCTTGGGCCGTGACGGAAGGCTTGCAGAATGACCAGACGGAGCTACACCGTTGGTCTTTGGTTTCTTGATTGCGGGCTTCCTTGCGCGGCTCCCTTGCGATGCGCCTGATCGCTTCTTTGGTCTGGCGCGGGGCCGGTCTTCGTCACTATCGGCAGCATCGCTCATGGTAGCATCCGAAAGAATGTCATCGTCGTCGTTTCCTTCATCGTCATCATCATGTCTTTTGCGCTTGGGTGCGGTGACTGGCTCCGGGCTAAACTTTTCGGGGGCTCGCACGACGCGTCCAGATCGACGACGCGACGACTCGGGTTCGGGGGAAGCTGTCGCGCTCTCCATGATGTCGCGTAAACGCAAAGGCAAAGTTGGATACCGTCTGAATGCCGACAGTTAATCGCAGCAATAGCGACAATTATTTCGCGCCGATGAGCGAATGTCCGGAGGGGTGGCGCATATGAGGAAAGTTGTCGCGTTGAGTAAGTGCGTTTACGTCGAAGATGTTTAGGTGACGGGCTCTCCAAATTCGCGAGTGGCAGACAGGACACGGACGGGTTGGGGTGTGGTGGATCGAAGCGCTGGTCCCTGCCTTGGTGCTGTACGAAGGATGGTGCAGCTGATTGGCGAATGAGCAATGGCCGCCTGGCGCGGAAGGAAGGACGAGACCACGCACCCAGCACCTAAACTGGAGGTCACTTCAGATATGAAGTACTATGGCGGAATACATACCTACCTTCCGTCCGTATGTACCTTCGGCGCGCTCACCCGCCAGAGAATAAGCACACCTTGATGGAACATGTGTGGCCTACAACCGGCTCATCTGGGTTTTCTCTCACAACGTACACCTAGTATTTGATGCAGACAATATAGTATACAAATGACTTGGTCAGGGGTCGCTCGAGTGAGTAATGGAGAGCGAAAGAATGCAAGCAACTTTACTCGAGGTGCCAATGATAGGCCGTTCTAGGTACATGTCAGGCTTAACCTCAGGGCAGCTCTTATTCTATATTTCCGTCCTCTCGGCATAAAGTCATCTCCCTAGGAACCTTTATGTTGATGATCTGACTTTAGTTTGCCGAGAGAATTTATTATTCATCGAGTGCTGCATCCTGGTCAAGCTTGACAGGCTGGAGTTTAGAAGCATGAGCTCGCGGGGCGCCGGCGGCAGCACAGTGCATTTTCGATCACTCGCGGCCACACCGTGTTCCTTGACATCAATCAGAACCTCTCATCGAGCAAGCATTGCAGACTCGGGCTGATTTTCGGCATTATCAAGTTGCAGCAAGAACGCCGTATCGCAACTTGTTCATGATCAAACCATCTTTTGACCAAACTCCTGGTATGTGGCCCCGGATGTTGTGTATTTCACAAGATTCATCTCTAATCCTCATCGCAGACGAAGAGCAACGCCAACTAATGAGCATGGCTTGTCAAATGTACCCCTGATACGTCTGAACCCAACCAACACCCAAGCCAGCAAAAACTACGATGGAGTCTCCTTTTCCCAAATCATCTTCAGTGGCCGGCGAAGGCGAGATCATAGCCCAGCTCCTGCCCAATGGCTTGTCAGGTCTCAAGGGCATGTCATATCAGTACCCCCTGAAACTCATCTCTCCGACACCGGCAGCCGACCAGAAAAGCGTTCTGGTATTTCTGCTTTCCTACGGCGGTGGACTTGTCGGGGGCGACAGCGTCAATCTCTCTATCCGCACTCTACCGGGATCAAAACTCAGTATTGTCACACAGGGTCATACGAAGATTTTCAAGTCCGCGTCTCCTGACATCGTCACGCGCCAAACGCTCAGCGTCCACATAGAAGATGGTTCCGGCATCTGCCAGTTGCCAGATCCAGTTCAGCCTTTTGATGGAAGCGTTTACGAGCAGACTCAGATATTCACAGTTGCCCCCAACGCTTCTCTGTGTCTACTGGATTGGGTGACGCAAGGCAGAACGGCGCGTGGTGAAGATTGGAGCTTTGTCAAATGGACAGGACGCAACGAAATCTGGCTGGAAAATCAAGTGCCCAACCAAAAGAACCGTTTGCTGGTGCGAGACACAGTCATTCTAGACAGAGACAGCCAAGGCCTAGTAGGGAGATCGCTACGAGACTCTATGCATGGAAACGGCCTCTTTGGAACTTTGATCTTGAGAGGGTCCCAGATGCAATCATTAGGCAATTTCTTCCTCGAAGAGTTCGGTGCTTTGCCTCGCATTGGCGCGAGGGATTTCAGATCAGCCGAGGCCAAGGCCAAGGAAGAAAGCAACTTGACTGAGCATGAATTATGGAGGCTTAAGCGCATAGAGATGGAGACGAAGGAAGGTATCTTGTGGTCGGCTGCGAGAGTCAGGGGATGTGTTATTGTGAAGTTTGGAGCAAGTACAGTTGAGGCTGGCCGGCTGTGGATTGGCATCATGCTGAGTCGAGAAGGCACGGTTGCAAGAGTCTATGGAGAGCAAGCATTGATGTGCGTAAAATGAGGCCTTTCTTCTTCTTGACTAGCTGTATGATATACCGGCATTAGCAAAATAAGCAAATCAGCTCTTCTGACTTTTGTTTGCTCATATGAGACCCCTAATTGCTTTTTTGTACCAATTCGGGCTTGAATGTTTTTCAAGTACAGAGTACCGCTCAAGGCCAGTGAGCAGTGCACACTCACTCAAGTTGAGTCGCATCGAATCTGTGCCTGAATGCGGGGTGAATCAACCCCACCTCTAAGGTAGGTGTGCAACTCAGCGGGACAAGGAAGGCGCCTCTGGTGCTATATACAAGGAGCATGTTTTGTCCCCCACCACGCTGAGGTAATCGAACATCTTTTTCTCTGGGCAGCGTCTGTGACTCTCCCACCAGACACTAGACACCACCACCAAATACTATTCTTTACCCTGCCATTGTCGCATACCCAACTCGAAAATACGGCAACGTTCCACGATCAGTCACAAAAACGACAAAGGAGATCGTTCTGAGTCCGTTGCTTACATCCCATTGCCCTCAGTCATCATGCCAGAGGGAGCGCCCCCAGCTCGAGGCGCTGGCAGGGGTCGACCCCGAGGGACTAGAGGAAGAGGAAGAGGAGCTGCTAGCAGTGCCGCACCTAGCACCGAGGGACCAAATTCGACTTCGAGACCATCTTCAGCACTGGGAACAGCTTCGGCAACCGCTGTACCTTCCAGAACCGCAACACCCAATCCTCCCGCAACCCGAGGCACTTCAGCCAGCAGATTTCGCCCCAGAGTGGTGCGTAGAGACGAGGCGGCGCGAGACGCAATTGCAAGACAAGAGCTAGAGAAGGACAATGCCAGGGCAAAAGCAGAAGCTCGCGCTCAAGCTCGCTCCCGAGGCCGCAGTCGGCGAGCTCGTGGTGATGCCATGGGTCGTGGCGGTTTCATGTCGCGAGCAGCTGTTGCTAGTGGCCCGTTCTCGCAAATGACAACAGAAGGTGTGTTGTAGGAGAGAATCATGGATTCGATTTTCTGGAGCTGACATTGTCTAGGAGGTGGCAGATCCGGCGGAGGATGGGGCGGTGGTGGTGGTGGAGGAGGCGGCGGAGGATTCTTTGGCGGCGGAGGCGGCGGCGGCCGAAAGAGAGAGGGTGGCGCGTTTGGAGAGGCTTCAGGCCATCGCGAAGCACGAATCAACGCCGATAGGCTCGCCGGATATCCTGTCGATCGCGAACCCGACTCTGACGACGAAGAGACGGCGGCCCTCATTGGCGCAAAGCCTGGTAACATTTGGCCCATGGGTATCGCCCGTATCGACAAGAAAGAAGAGAAGAAGACGATTGCGACCTCGGCCGAACTTGAGGCAGAAGAACAGGGCAAGGCCGAAGAGAGCCTCTTTGTCGAAGGCGAAGGATGGTCTGGTGCCATTCCCCCGATGGAAGATGAGACAAAGGTCTGGCATGCGGCACCCAAGGGTGTGGTCCAGGTCAAGGCAGAACCTGGCGGCGAACCAGGTGCTATGGATATTGCGCCGGTCGACTTCAACGCCCACATCAAATCCGCGACTCCCGAAGCCGAGGAAGAGAAGATCACTCCTGAACCGAAGACAAAGAAGGCAATGGCCGATCCCGAGGTGGAAATGATTACACACGACATGGAGCTTCTGTTGGGCGAACTGGGCACTGTCACCGACGAAAACTCCAAGGCACCCGAGACAGAGGTTGCGAGCAAGGACGGACGTCTATACCTCTTCCAGTTCCCGCCCTTGCTGCCGCCACTGCAACCTGCGACTGCGCCCAAGGTCAAGCCAGAGCCCGACGACGTTGTCATGCTCGACCAGCCGGGCGAAGCTGTCGACCTCACACAGGCGGAAGAGAGCTCTAAACCCAAGGTCGAGGACGATATTGATCTCACAGACATTAACCAGTTGGTCTCCCAGGCTGGAATGATGGGCAAGCTCAAGGTGCGCAAGTCTGGAAAGGTCGAGCTGGACTGGGGAGGCAGAACACTCGAACTCAGCCCGGCTGCGGGCATGAACTTCTTGACTACGGCAGTGATTGTAGAGGAGTCAGACGAAAAGGCGAAACAAGGTGTTCCTGGTGGAGACAGTATTGGCATGGGTAAGATCATGGGCAGATTTGTTCTCGCGCCGACTTGGGGTGACGAGGAAGAGTGGACGGTTGACCCAGAGGATCTTGTTGTTCCCGAAGCGTAAGGCTGTACAACAGTGCTGACGAGAGCATGGGAGAGATGGAATACGTCGTTTGCCGATTTACCCCGCCAGTGATCTAATGCCAACAGATCGGACGGGGGAACATCATAAGCCGCTAGTGGACTTGGCCCCAAGTCTTGTTTGGGAGGTATTGAAAGGATAGACAAAAAAAAGAGATACCCTAGGCTAATTACATTGCCCCAGTTCGGACTGCTCTCAAATGGGACGAACCCGAGGGACGGCGCCGTCCCGTCGGTCTTCCCCACACTCCGCATGTGAGACCGTCCGTGAACACCAACCACCAAGACGCGGTGGCGGCGCTTATGTCTGCAGTATCTCGTCACAATTCTTCAAATGACCATTTCCATGCGGCCAGCTTTCTTTGAAGGTCTGGTCAAACCGATCATGATGAGAAGAGATTGTTGCAACCTACCGGTTTAATCAGTGGAAACAGCAACCCGCCACCGGCGCAACTCATAACCTCTCACAGTCTTACTATCCAGCATGGAGGATCACCCTCAGAACAGCTCCAACAACGATGGTATACATGTGATCATCATCGGCGCGGGTCTTGCAGGGTTGGCAACGGCCCTCTCGACCAAACTCGCGAACCCTTCTCACCGAGTGACGATCCTCGAGGCAGTCAAGGAACTGCAGGAAGTCGGTGTAAGTCCTCTCATCCCCTCACACA